AAGATAGCTTGTATACATTCAGGATCTGGCTGCATTGTGTCCAGGGGAAAATATGGTAGCCATCCGAGGCCAGCCGACTGCTCTTCGTAACCTTTTATTTTTAATTTACGCCTTGCTTTTGCAGAAAAAAAAAAAAAAAAGTGTTGCCTCCTTGCTAGCATAGCAGAGCAGAGGGTTGAGGTCCCAGTAGCAAAGAGGATATGATGAAGCGCCTGAATCTGGACGTGTTGAGGGAGAGATGCAGAAAAGCAGATCAATCGTGATTTTCTGCACATCCACAGACACGCCCAGATTCAGGCGTTAAATCCAGTCCCTTTCTGCCTGTGGGACCTCGCCGGGACCTAGCCCCAGGGGTGCGTGGTCCCACTTGCACAGAAGCAGCGATATTGGCCGCCGATCTTACGGCATATTCAGCTTAGGACTTTCCTGGATGTATCTGACTGTAATTGCTTCCAGAGTCTTGGAGAAAGAAGTCCCAAGCCTGATTATGCTCTTCCTTCTCTATGCAAACTCTCTCTCTCTCTCTCTCTCTCTCTCTCTCTCTCTCTCTCTCTCTCTCTCTCTCTCTCTCTCTCTAGCTCTCTTTTTTTTTCTTTGGGTATCTCGGAGCAAGTGCGCAACCTTGCCCCTGACCTTATCATGTGAACTAGGTTGTGGTGGTCGTTTTTTTTTTTTTTTTTAATTCTGTTGGTGTCACGGAGCAAGTGCGATCTTGCCCCTGACCTTGTCATGTGAACTAGGTTGTGGTGGCCGTTTTTTTTTTTTTTTTTTTTCCCTTGTTCCTTAAACCAGTTCCAACCATGTTGACTGAATACAGTTCAGTGCACGCCCCCTGTGACTCCACCCCCCGGAGGGCCCCCCCCTCCTCCGGCTTCCCGCCGTGCTCCCACCCCCTGCTCTTACCCCTCTTTGCACTTTGATCGTGGAGTTTGGACTTCACAAATAGAAGAGTAGAGTTTTCTCGCCCTAAAATTGCAGCAGAAATTAAGATCGTAGCACAACGCTCGTAACTCTGCAGACATTGTTTCCGAAAACAAAAAGGGTGACTGCAAAATTACCCCCCACTCCAATGCCCTCTAGCCCCAAAACACTACCTCGTGTGCATGGAATCGGAGCAGAGGGGATTGTGGCGTGGGAGAGTGGTGGGCGAAGGAGAAAGTGTCCTGGGGCGGAGTCCCATTAGCAAAAAGGATTGGATGTAATTCCTGAATCTGGACGTGTTTGTGGAGGAATTCAATCCAACCCTCTTTGCGGGTGGGACCAGGCCCCTGGAGTCGTCTCCCGGCATTGAGTATGTGCTAAACGAACATTGCACAGCTACGAGCGATGGTGTGATTGTGTTTTGTATGTTGTCTACAGATGTTGTTTGCTGTCTACGATGCTTGGGTGCGATGCTTTGGCGGACACATGTGTGCATGGTTTCATTGCCTTTTCAAAAATCTCAACATTGTCAAGTGAATTGCAAAATTGGGGAACAGGGAAATGTGGGAACAAAACACTCCTGTGAGTTTTTTTCCCTCCCTTTTCTTCGCTTGAACAACTGGTTTCCCGCGAGAGCCTAAGTTGACGAAGCTACCTTTGGAGGCTCACGAGCCTGCAGCTGCGCCTTGTCAAAGTGGCCTGCTGCTTTTGCTGCAGGCGCGGGCCCAAACAGAAATGCTCTTATACCTCGTATACCGGTAGGATCACTACTGAGGTTCGTATGAACTGGTGATCTATAAACTGGGGTTCGCAAACTGGGCTACCGTCCAGGCCGCCCGGGGGTTCGTCCACTTACACTGTGAAGTTGAGCTAGCTCAATACTGGGACACAGTGTGACTATGCATTACAAAATCAAAACAAATGCAAAAACCTTAAAAAAAGCAAAAACAAAATGCTGCTAAAACTTAAAAAGTTCCTAGTCATTTGCGTGTGGCGCGCGAGTGCTGGCCATAGACACCGCTGTTACTCGATGAGGGAGGGGGGGGCGGGGATGAGTAGATGCAGCTACTGACAAAGTGCTCGG